AAAATAAAAATTGATTGAATGTTTAAATGTAAATGTAGCATTTAAATATACTGGGAGAAAACGTGGAGGAACAGGTATTCCATACTAAATTTGACAATGATTTTTGGATATAACCCCTAAATTCCTGGCAAGGAGAGCAAGGATATACATATGGGGTTACATCAAGGCAAACAGTATCTTCACAGTGAAGGAAATAGTCAACAGAATGAGGAGACAAACTAGAGAATGGTAGAAAATATTTCTAAACTATCCAAGGCTAAAATCTAAAATACATAATACCTAAATATCTGAAAAAGTGTTAATATAAAAATATCCAATACCTAAAACAATATGGTAGCAAGGACACCAATAATACATTTAAAGATGGGAAAAGAGGCTAATAGGTTTTTCTTAAAGGAGGACATGCAAAAGTCAAAAAACATATGAAAAATAATGCCCAACATGACTAATATTCAGGGGAATTCAGTGTAAAACCACCATGAACCATCATCTCACATATGCTTGATCAGCTGTTATACAAAAGATGAAACATAACCAGTGTTGAAAAGGAGTGGAGAAAAGGGAAAATTCATACACTGTCGGTAGGAATGTAAATTAGAATGGGCATGTGGAAAGCATTATGGATGATTCTCAACAATTTAAAAGTGGAATATCCAACACAATTGAAATCAGTATTGCAAATAAATATTTGCACTCCTTTGTTCCTTGCAGTATTATTCACAATAGCTAAGATATGGAATCAACACATATGCTCATTGATGGAAGCATTGCTTAAAAATGTGTTAAAATATATAATAGAATGCCACTCAATTTTTTAAAAAGATAGAAATTGTGTTGTTTGGAATGTCATGCATGAACCTGGAAGATTTTCTGCTAATTGAAACAGTCTAAGAATAGAGAGACAAACACTGCATGATGTCAATTATTTCTAGAACCTAAAATACTAGAACTTGTAGAAGCACAGAAAGAGAAATGTTAATTTCCAAGATCTTATGGGTGATTATAGTTAATAATAAGATATGGCATACTTGAAATTTGATAATAGAATAGATTTTAAATGTTTTCTTAACAAAAGATAATAAGGGTGTTAGGTGATGAGTATGTTAACTTCGTTTAACCATTACACAATGTATGTTTAGATGTGCATACATTTCTCAAAATATCATGTCATCCACTGGAACTTTGTACTTGTGAGCTGTACTTTTGTGAAAAAATGGATTTGACAAACAGAAATGGATGAGTCCATGAATTACAGTAAATTAAAAACAGAAGCGATGGTACAGGAGCTTGCCAGAAGTGACCCACTTCAATATTGACCTTTGTGGTCTTTTCCTCCATACCACAGTTTAATTATCCTAATTGTTTTCAATGACACATCTTAAGAATTTACTGCCTGGCCCTGTGTTTTTCCAACAGTAGAAGTTTATAGTTGCCCGCACAAGCACAGTGAAGCACTCTTGCTGCCATGAGAGCTGCTGAGTTTGAGTGTATGGTGTGAAAGCAGAGACTGATCTCCAAGGGCTGACCTTAGGTCTTGGTATTTCTTCTCTGCTAAATAAGAACATAACCTACAAATATTACTTGAGCTAAAGTAATATGTGAGCTAATTAGCTCAACATCCTAAAATGTAAATGAGCACTATTATGACAATTAAGTGTTCAAAATAAAAAGCAATGAAGTGTTTTACACATAAAGTCCTTCCATACCATCCAGTCCAAAAATTACCCTTCCTGGCCCCTTATCCTTTCAGATAGTTTATTTTTCTTCATAATACTTATCACTGCCTGATACTATGCTGTAGAATATGAACATCTGCCTTTTCATTCTAATTCCTGAAGAATCTCAACTTTTTTAGAGTGAAAACTTTTTGGTCTTATCTGCAGAAGTCTAACTGAGAATAGTGGAATGAATTAAAGAAAAAATGCACAAGTGAAGGTAAAGTGGACAAAGGTTTTCATGGAGCTTAAAACTTTTAAGAATTCTTATTTATATTTATATGTTTACTTTTTAAAGATAGGATCTCTCTATTTAGTCTATTATGGAATTGAACTTTCAATTCTCCGGCTTCAGCCTCTCGAGTGCTGGGATTACAGGTATTCATCACCATACCAGCCTAATAATTTTTATTTTGGGAATAAAGAATTTTATTTTTTATACAAGGTATTAATTCTATCTTCCAAGGTTCAGTGGAGTTACTCTGCTTAAATGAAAGAGCAGATTAAGGTGATATTTGAAAGATGAGGGTGTTTCCAAGCACAAAGGCAGAAAAGGAATTGCAGGAAGAATGGAAGAGTTTTCATAGATACTAACGCAAAACCAATTGCAAACTGCTAAGCATGATTAAAACACTTCCAACATTTCAGTGTGGCACACGATGAAGCCTGGCAAGACCTGGTAAGAGCTGAAGCTACAGGATGAACAAAGGACCAGATCTCAAAGGGCCTTTGATGTCCTGAGGTGCTTGTGTGTTCCTCTGCAGAACCTAGGTCATATCCAGAAAAGAATGGTGCATCTGTGAGTAGTTTAAATAGGGAATAATGAAGAAGCAGTTCATATACTAGAAAATCCTTTGATAACAATGTGGGTGAAGTTAGGCAAAAGTAGATAATCTTCAGAAATCTATATGAAAATTGAACAAGTCTAGATAGAAAACTGTTATGTGAGATTAAAGAGGATTCAAAATACAATCCAAAAGGAAGGGTAGCTAGGACTCTGGTATATTTTCAAATCATAGAATGTTTTCTTTTCTTATAGAACATCAGGTATAGTGTATGGGGGTAAGCCACAAATGTGTAGGATACTCTTTGGGGGGAAAAATTTGAAAAAGAAGCTATTATTATATTGTAGAAGTGAAATAGTTATAAAATAATTAACTATCGAGAATTGACTCATTTTTGTAGCCTAAATTTCTCTACATGTGTATTTCAATTGTATTTCAACTACTGATATGTTATCTGGAAACAAAATCTGTGAAAGTCATGAGTGAATAGATAAATGTAATCTGCTAGTTATCTTTAAAATCTATTTTTTTGACATATTTACAACACATCTATCTCGTGCCATTGTTACTTTTTATGCGTTTTTAGTTCTGGTGGTAAAGTTGCTTTAGAATCCCTTTTTAATATCATGAACATTTTCTTTTACTCATGAATAAATGGTGGGCAAGAATTCATGATGGTTGCAAAACACAACCACGGAATAATATAAGGCTATCATTATGATAAAATTACAGCTATAGAAAAGTGGAACCCAAACTTAAAAGATCACAAGGAAAATAATTCATAGCTCTTTCTAAACCCAATCTTGTAAACTCTCCAGTACTTCTGAAAACATAGCTATTACCAATAGGAAAACATTTAACTAAGAAATCAACATTCCTTTGACTCATTTAGTGGTCTATTATTCATGTGTCTTTTTTATACCTATTAGAGCATTATGACTCTTCAGAAAGTTCAGAGCCTGAGCACATTGATGATTTATTTTAACAAAAGGCCCCACAGAACTCTAATTTTCAAAAGGTGATACTGAGAATGAAGGGGAACTTTACTCATTTTTCCACTTCACCCTAACATCAGAGACTAGTTAAGTCTTCAATGAATGTCTTAGGGAAGGAAAGAATCCTTTCTATATCATCATTGTAACCCATTCAGGGGAGAGTTTATGTACAAAAAGACAAAACTAAAATCATTGTTGGTGGAGTTGAGAGAACCTCCAATTTTAAAGTCACCCGTTTATGACCATTTTCCTTGGTAACTTAAAAAATAGTTAAAGTGAATTTTAAGTAATATGTCAGGACAGAATACAAAAAAGGTAAGTTCAAAGGGAAAAAAGACTATAGGTAGGCAAGGAGTGTTATCAAACAACTCACAAACCATTTCAGTGGTATGACTGTCCTGCTATCTGTATGAAATTAAAAATTGCATTACTTGCTTAAACATGAAGAAATTGAGTGTTAGAGAGTTAGAATATGAAAAAAATATGTATTTTCATGTGTGTATATTGTGACCAGTCTGTTTCTTTCTATTGTGGTGTTCTGGGAGAAAAAGGGACTCCTCTGCTTTTTTGGGGGGGGCGGTACTGGGGATCGAACTTGGGTCCTTGCACTTGCACAGCAGGCAATGAAACCACTGAGCTAAATCCCCAGCCCCCATCTTCTGCTTTTTAATCATTTGGAATTTCACTAGTTTGATCATAAAATCGTACTAAGTTGTTTGAAAAATGAGAAACATCGAGCGTCAGAATCAGAATCCCTTATGGCTGCTGTTTTAAAATGTGGAGCCCTATGTTGCTTAACTTATTGGGTCTGCATATTTGGGGCACTTAGTTTAGAAATCTGTACTTGTAAAAGCATCACAATATGCTAGCTGTGCACTAGAAACTAAATAACACTAGTCTAAGTGAGATGGAGGTGAGGAGATGAGGAACGAACAGGTAAAGCAGTCTCCAGATTTCCTTCCCTCCCCACCTAAAGCAGCCCAAGGAGTAAGGAGCATGCATGCAGCTACTCTTCTTCAATTCTGCCTTGAGAAGACCAACCCAGGGCTCTGGGGCTGCTTCCAGATTAGAACTCACTGGTGTCTTCCCCACATGCTTCTCCTAGGAAGTATCGCTTTGTACTTACTGTGATTCCTGCCAGTGGAACTTAACAAAAAGTGGAATTGCTATTTTGAGTTACAGTCTTACTCTTTAGATTTAAGAATAAAAAGGACTTCAGATAAAATTAAATCAAAGACTTGTAGAGATGTAGACAGACTGCCAACCGAGAAGATGTTTTGCTAAACTGTACAGAGACAAAGCTCATTTATGCTCATCCCACTCCCGCTAAAGATAATTTATGGCATATTTTCTACCATCTACTTATAAATACATTCACAAAGAATGATGGTGAGTTTTATATATAGTGAAAGAAATTTTTATTTTTATTTTTCCATAATATAGTTTTGCTTAGAGAAAATAAATTTTAAGTTTGTACCAAGAAATGACTTGAGTGGTCTCACAGCTCAAAGAATTTAACTTTATGTTAAAAAAAAACACCATGAGAATCAAAAATATGCAGTTTATCTAATGTAAGGTACATTTCACACATCTGCCAGTCAACTCAGTTTTATTTTATGATGGTCCTTTGGTAACAAAATATTTTACCATAAGGTAGAGTTCATTGAAAAGGTTCTGTTAAAACATATCAAGCTTTGGAGAGATGCTTCTTTTGCTTTTGACTCATAACTCACTATATAATCACTGATCTTGGACTTTATTATTAACTAGCTAAAAATAGAAATTATTTTCATAAATTATATGTCCTATATCCCATTGTATAGAGTCATGGATACCCAGAATATAGAAAGCTAAAAACAGTTATTAATGGATTATAAATTCAGAACATATGTTCCAAATGCACTGGGTTCAGGATGCTGTGTATTTTTGTAATAATTTTTAAAGTCCCAATTGGAGTTCTCAAACATTTTTATTTACCAACCAAATAGTGCTCTATTGCTAAGATCTTATAATAGCTTCTTGTTTAATGGAATAATAGTTTCTAACTTGTAAAAATGACAAGAATGGGAGTAGAAGAAAATCTAAGCAAGTTGTGTGACTAGTGCACATATAATCAGATGTACATAATCCCTGTAAGTGGATTCTAGAAGAAGACATAAATTTAGTGTGAAATCCTGTGTTCCCATTGGTAAAATATTTCAGGCTAAAGATGTCTTTTGAACTTTAATGTATTCATTTATGTATTTTATAAATGAGAGACATGAATTTCACAAGAAGTCTAACAGTGATGCCATTTGCTATGTTTTATTTTGCTATTAGCTTGTTAAACACAACATGCAAATAATCAAAAAGAAACATATATGACAGAATAAAAATAATTGTAGAAATGTTTTGCTATGTAAGTAAATTCTTAATACTTCAAATAATTGTTCAGGTGCAAATTGCTTCATGAATTTTGTTTAGCATTTTGCAAAATTACTGACTCAGATTCTGCCACCTATTTTTCAACAAAACAAATTTGAACATAGTAAGAAAATCTGGGTCAAGGTGGAAAATATCCATTTAGGACACTATTTGAGTACATTAACTTACCACTTAGAGGTTATAAAACTCGGCTGACTTCCATGCTAGATGTAAAAGGCTTTGCAAGCCTTTGGACAGTAAAGATACAATAAACAATACATTGACAAACAAACTATTGAATTTCATGTCTATTTGTATGTGTGTGTGTGTGTGTGTGTGTGTATGTGTGTTCTTTTGATGAAATAGGCCTGCTTTTCATCTTTTAAAATAAAAGTAGGAAATGTTTACAAAACATTTTCCCTCAGAATTTAAAATAAATGGAATTAATAAACAGCAACAAAATTGGATACTATGAAAACCTTACACACAAAAAAGTAACCATGAAGTATCACTCCTATATTGATATACCTCAATATAGTTGGAATTACCAGATATTAAGTAATGGTGATTTCATTCAATACACGTAGACATTCGTACATATCAGGTGGCAGGCTGCTTTGAGTTAAGAGATTGCCATCCAAGCGCAAATGTTTGATCTTGGAGTAGGACAATGGTCCCAGAATTTTACAGAAGCTCTTTACATCAAACTCTGGAAAATAAAGAATAGAAAATTTAAATCATTTTTTAATAAAGTGACTTAAAACAATCATTTAAAAAAATTCCTCAAGTCTAAAATATTATCAAATAGGGCTTCTTCCCACTTAAAAAACTCATTTACATCATATATCTTTGAATTAAGAATTACTAAAAGCATATTTCAGATGACTAACATGGCACAGCAATATTCAGTAAGCAGTAACAAGCACAGATTAGAATATTCCATAGTTTTTTTTATTTTTGTTTTTGTTTTTGTTTTGGTGCTGGGGATTGAACTCAGATCCTTCCGCTTGTGCAGCAGGCGGTGAAACCACTGAGCCAAATCCCTGGCCCTTCCATAGATTTTTTTAAAGAACACAATTTAAGAAATTTTAGAAAGGTATTTAACAAGTGTGTCTTATATGCTAAGAACTCTTTTTCAAATATTTAATCTGACCTGACTGATCTTTTTCTATGAAAAAAAAAATCTTACTAGCATAAGCATCCTTGGGTTTTTCTTCTGAAAGTAAGAGAGCTTTAAGTAGTTAATCTATAAAGAATATTTTCAGTAACCATACACCAAGACAATGAATCAGAGCTCCAAGACAGAAACCAAGTCATGGAATATCCACCATCTGAACCAATGTTTTTATGTGGTTGAAAAGTAATCAGAAATGAATATGTGGCTTAGTTTCAAGAGTCACTAAAGCTGGATTGTATAACTACAGATGCACACAGAAACTCTTATTTGTGCCAATGTCCATTTTCTTTCACCCTTAAACTCTAGTCAACAATGGCTTTAGTGGAAACTCTGATGCTTACTTAAACTCATCAACTGAATGCTGGGCTCTTTCTGTGGTACCTAGCTCTGATGAAATATGGAGCAATAGAAAGAAGTTGGCCCTAGGCCTATGTCAGGATTCTACTTCTGCTACTCCTCAACTGAGTGAACTTTGAATACTTAGCTGATCTTCCTGTCTGATATGCACATCTATCTCAGTGTGCTGTGAGGTTAATGAATGTAGAGCATGTTAAACAATATTAGAATATAGGATATCCAAAATAAGTATGAATGGCCTTATAAGTTTTTCTCTTTTCCAAATTCATATTAGAAATATCTATCATCAGGCTAATGCTTAGAGTTGCAGGATTGAAAATCTAAAATTACTTTTGGCTATATAATTGGTTCCCTTTACCCACGGTTCCACATTTGTAGATTCAACAAATCACAAATCAAAAATATTTGGAAAAAATTGCTTCAGTTCTAAATATGTAGAATTTTTAAAAGATCATTATTTCCTAAATTGTATAATATAACAACTATTTAGAGTGCATTTACATTGTGCTAGGTATTATAAGTAATCCAGGCCTAATCTAAAGTACTATATGAGAAGATATACATAGATTCTATGCAATTACTATGCCATTTTATATAAAAGACTTGTCATCTACAGATTTGGGTATCCTTTTGATGTTCTGGAGCTCTGTAATACTACTTTGAAAAGAGAAAGCTATTCTGAACCTTCATCATATACTGTCCCTTCTTAATCTTCTCAAAGCTCTCATCAGAATATTGTGAAGTCCTCACACACTGTAATAGCCGTAATGAAAATAGATGATGCTCATGTTGGCTTGGCAGAGTAACATGCACAATCCCTAGTAAAGACGTCACAATAATATATGATCTGCTCTGGTGATGAGTGGGGCAGGGCTTGAAATCCTCTGCAGCTCTGCCTCTGTTAAACATGTTCGTTCCTCTCTCAGCCAAGAAGTAAATGTAAGATACAAATCTTAGTGATAATAGAGGTAACCGATAACAGGTAAATATCAAGATATAATTCAACAGCATTAATCAACTCAATATAAGTCTTACAAATTTTGATATTAAATTGCATAATCTTAATAGTTCTTCATCTGGACTTCCCAAAGAAAGGCGAAAAAAGAAGTGCATACATAAAGCTAGAGTTCGCCTATGTTTACAGTGAAGGGAAATTTTGTCAACATTTTAATTCATCTTCATTAAATGACCTCAAATGACCTATTTGTGTCACACAACTTGGACATTTAGAATGTAAAGATGCGCCAATTAAACACAAATACAACTTTCTACTTACTTTCAAGTTCATTGACCTCCAAGTAATAGTTTTCAAGGTTTTCATTGACATTTGGTATACTTTTAAGCTTATTATAGGAGAGATCCAGCTCAAGGAGGGATGATATATTAAAAGTATTTCCAGGGATCCCACTATCAGCCAGTTCATTGTGAGATAAACGCAGGTATTGCAGTGCATTAAAACGCTTAAAATACTCATCAGGGATATTTTTAATCTGATTGTTGTCTAGGTACAGAGTTAGAAGAGACACAGGGAGGCCAGATGGGAGCTTGGCCAACTGGTTGAAACTCAAGTCAAGGTACTCAAGTGACTTAAGACCTCTCAAAGCAGCAGAAATGGCTTCCTCTTTCAGCTGATTGTGTTGAAGGTGGATAAAGGTCAAGTTTACCAGTCCTTCAAAGGAGCCAAGCTTCGTGATCTTGTTATTAGTAAGCTGCAGATCCTCCAGCGTTTTGGGAAGTGGGCTGACAGACTCTGTCAGATTGTTGTAGTTTATATGCAGCTTCTTCAGTTGTTTCAGTTTAGAGAAAACTTTGCCTTTTATCTTGGAGTTTTCTAGAAGATTGTGATCTAAAATAAGCCACTGCAGATCAGTTACGTTCTCAAAGGCCTTTTCATCAATACGATCAATCTGGTTATTCCTAAGATAAAGGTACTTGATTCCAGGAGGAATAATTGGTACACTTTTCAGCTTCAGCTTATCGCAGTACATGGCAGTTGGGTAGCTCTCTGGGCAGTTGCATTCTGGTGCACAGTTTGGTGAGGAACGCAAAAAAGCGGGGTAGTAATCATAATCGTAGTAGTGCCCATTGGCACTGCTAGTCAATGCCAAGAAGAAAATTAGTGCACCTAGATTCATTTTCAGCAAGTGTTTTGAATCCTAAATGAAATGGAAATAGATTTTAATATAAAATAATATACTTTCGGGAAAATGAAATTGAATTTGCAATGTCAAAGTCTATCAAGCATTTTGTTATTTTGTAAATCTTCTACTGCACTGGAAAAGAATGCCTTCATCTTCTTTTAAATTTTGGTTTAAGAATGAGGATGGGGCCTATGGCTACAACTTTGGTGTGGACACCAGGTCTCGGGTCAGATGGCGTACACCTGCGCCCCCTTCTGGGCGAGCCAAACAAAACTGTTGCACTCAATCTCTTCAGGTCCTTCCTTAACTAAATATCTTCCCGGGAGAGGAGAGACTTCTGGGCTGTGCTCATTGACTACCATGTTAGAACACTGCTGCGGAACATGTCTCAAAAGCAGAAGAGATGAAAATTAAAAGATATTTGTAAACTGACGACTGTAACCTACAATTCAACATCTTTGAAACGTCTCATTAAAAACTCCTTCCTGGGAAAATGGTCAGTCTGTGGTTTTCCCTGGAGGAAAGCTATCCTGATAATATATGGGGTGGAAGGGGAAATGGGAGTACATTCCTTTCAAAACGTCTGGCTGTTGTCTCTGAGGTTCTGAAGAAGAGGAAGAGAAATCCCAGTATGGGTGTGTATTTATGTTATTTCAAGTTTTGTATAACATTCCACACTTTTAACACATTGTAAGAGTGTATTCTGAAACTGACATTTACTAAATTAATTTAATAAAGCAAATATTTATTAACAACAGAAATGTCAAATAGTCTAAGAAATTTTAAATGGAGAAAGGTAGAGGAAAATATTTCCCTAATTTTGAAATAAAGTTTTCTAAAACACTCAGAAGTTCTCTATCTCCTTCATGCTAAATTTAAGGTGGCATGGTTTACATTTTTGCACTTTCAAGGCCTCACAGAATGAAATGGTAGACAAGGAGGAAAGTTTGTTTCAAATGCTGACTTTAGGAACCATGTAGGAGAGTATTCCACTGAAAATATAAATTTTAAACAATTTCTAACAGTTATCTTTCCCGATAAACCTGTTTCTGAGATTCACTAAGGAATATTTCAACTGGGTGGAAGAAGCACAAGTTTAGCAATTTAAATAAATGAAAATTAGAATATAAGAATTGGATTTTTATAGGGTGAAGACGTATGGCTGAGAAGTTGGTAGCTCTGGAAGAGAAATCATTAATGGGTAGTGGATCTACATTTCCACAGATAACACAGAATACTATGTTTTCTTACGAGAAGCATGATACAAGTTTTTGGATCAGGAAATTTGGAATATGTAAGATATGGGAGAATCAGGAATTTTAAATATTTTTCTTTGTTTTAATTTGGTATTATAAGGCACTTTACTTTAGCAGGTGAAACACTCAAAGAAAATTTTTAGAAACACTTCAATTCCAAACATAAGACATGGGATCTTAGGAAATTATTCCCTGGAAGCATAATGGAGGCGTTTAATTCACTTCACAGGACTTGGCCACAACTTGTGTGTCTCACTAAAGAGAACATGATGGCATATTTCTAGGATTCTTTAGAAGCTGCAGTATGTTAGTGCTGTACAGGTTTGTTCTGATTCATTAATAAGTGTATATTTCATTTAAAATTAAGTGTATACCAAAGCAGTCATGGTAACTAAAATCTGAGTATTGAATAGTGACAAAAAGAGTGTTTTTGTAGTTTTTGGCAGTGTAAAAACTAGGGCCCTGAATTCAAAGAGAGTTTGTAATCATATAATGCCTCCACTATGAGGCAAAAACACACTGTACTTTTCTCCATGAATTCAAATACCTGTGGCTATAGGGGAAATGTTTTTTTTCAAAAAGCAAACCATTTCCCAGAATTTCTTGAAAATATGTTTCTTAAGACATACACAAAAATCCAAAATTTTTAAAATTAATGTCATAAGAACAAGAAATACATAAGTGTTTTAGTCCTTTAGCTCCCACTTTATAACATAGAATATTTACTGTATTGTAAGAAAATTAGAAAAATATATTCATTGCACAATACTTTGCATGCTGATTGAAGTGACTTTTCTTTGCTGCAATATTAGCTTTCAGCATTAGGAACATATTAGCAATGAGCATAAATAATAAATGTTTTAATCTCCATACTTTTTACTGTGTCTAGTTTAATTTCCCAGTGTCTAGTTGAACTCCTTTCCCTTTCTAACCTTGAAACATTTTATAGCTTCCTTTGCCAACCAATACAGAATATACTGTATAAAATTTACCTGTAATACATAAATCGTGGAAAGCGCATTATCCAAAATGTGAAAGCAAATGTTCAGATCTATGAATGCGCTATTGAATAGCAATTGGCAAAGTTACTCTGGAACTTTCTCTGTTCCTGTTACAATAAAAACTGTCCCAAACAGTCAGCATCCCCTAGGCTATAGTTAAAACAGCACTTACCTTACTGTCTTGATACTGCTTTTGTTAATTCTTAAAGCAGATGCACTATGGACAAGAATCCACCAATATATGCTGTGAACTCTTGTTAGGACGGAACTGACTGCCAGATTCTTAGTGATACAAGAGCTGAGGAGGGTGGGGGGACCAGCACAGTCACGCCAGTCTGAATAGAGTTATGTCACTGTGGGGCTCTTGTGGTGTGGCATGTGCATATTCTGATCTTTAACGAAATGCAGGTGGACATAGTGAGCAAAGACAGACCAGCTCATTCCCTATGAAGTGGGAGAAAGCTATGTGCTGAGCGAGCTCAAATACCATAGCTTTTATCCAAGAATTGACCGCTGCTCCAAGGAAGGCAATTCACAGAGAAAATGTTTCTCTCGCAAATGTGTTACGTGGCTATGGCAACAATTAAGTGTGATTTGTTCAGCCAACTATTACGTTCATCTAAGGGTCCCATAAATCATGAATAAAGCAAATAATGTCAGTAAAATGCAAATGAGAAAGCTCAGAGGAATGGAATCTTTTGTGTGCATCACTTTTGGAATCTATATTGATTTTCTTGGACTAAATTTTTGCCACGAAATTAACTAAGATTCCAAAAAATTAAAACTGCTTCATGTTAACTGATATAAATGATAAATATCAACATTTCCATTTAACTTCTTATGCTAAGGGAACTCTGCATACTGTTCAGATCTGGAACCGATCAGCACTCTCTTGCCTGTTTCTTATTTTGTGGATTTCCTTTAGGAATTCACCCAAAACCTCACTTGAAGATAATATTCTGTATTTTGTGGATTTCATTCTATAGTTTAATGCCAAAAAAAACATAAAAGAAAAAATGTGTATCAAAAATATTGGAAGGCAACATCCTTTCATCCTATGATTGCCTGCTAATGTTTTTTTTCTTTTTTCCAAGATAAATTTATTTCAAAGTTGAATCTCTAGAAGGCCTGGTCTGTTACATCTTTCATTATCAGATTCTGATGTTTACTTTTAGCAAAGGAGACATTTACTCAAATACTATCTAATTCTTATTTTTTTTTTTTTTACTGTCAGCCTTTCTTACAGGATTTTCTCCTACAAAATATTCATTTCTTCTTCTTTATAATAACTTTTAGAACAAGATATGCTAACATAAATTGCCATATTGTGAGATATTTTCCTTTTAAAGTAAGTATATTACTTTTAGAAGTGAGACTTGTAGAAAGCTTGTAGTCATTTCCATGACTACTACTGTGTTTGCCTTAGAAGAGAATATCAGAATAAATACCTCATTTTGGTAATAGAGCAGTGGAAAAACAAAGATAACCTTCTTCAAAGTAAGTCACAGAAATGTAAGATGATTTATAACCATAAAATGTTGCTATTAAGAAAATTATTTAAAGATGTCAGTCCACAAAGGAAATGAATGAACTTAGAAAGTAAGAATGAGGAAAAGAAGACAAATAGACTAATCAAATATGATTATTTACTTATTATGAGGATTGATAAAACTATTCTAAATAGAATTGATAAAAGTATTCTAAACTTTAACTTTGAGTACATCAAATTTCATAATCTGATATCTTTGAAACATTCTAGCTGTTTATGCTTCAGGACTTTTTCTTATAAAGTAATAAATACGTTGTGGAAGTTGTAATAGATTTTAAGCACATTAGATTTAGGTTATTACTGTTAACATGCACTTTTTAATAAATTCACTATAATGAGACCACTAAATTGAATTACTTTACAAATTTTTAAACCATATTTAATTTGTTTAGTTGGAACAAATGAAGATTTTTATAGTGTATCTGCAATATCCTGTGCTTTTTTTTCTCAAAACTTTAACATATTCATCACTTCTAAATCCTTGTAATATGTGTTGTTATCATATTTTCAAAGGTAGAAACAGAGACTGAGGGAGTCTAAATAATTTACTAAAGTTACCTAACAAGTAGATGGAATAATGAAACCAGGATTATTTTTACCCATTGTGAAAAGTTGAAAAGATTGAATGGAATGGAACAGAGATGGGTTAGTTAATCAATTTAAAGGATTTTGTAGGCAATGTTATTAGTTAAGGCAAAGCAGAAATATCCATAGGCACCCATTTAAAAAGAAACATGCTAGCTAAGTATTGTTTCTTTGGCCATCACACATTCACAACATGAGTACAGCTGCATCTGTGTTACAGGACTTTTGAGTGAGTATGAACTTTCCTTCTGGGCAAATAGACATGTACATTGTTATATTGGATGTTAAAGGCTGAATGTGTTTCAGCAGAATACAGAGAACCTTGCTTAAGTTTCTAGGCACTCACCCAAAACTGGATCCTTTATTGCCTGGTGCTGAGGAACCTTATAACTATTTCATTCACCTTATGTTGAATCCAGCCCTGGTCTCAAAGCCTGAGCTAAAAATGTTGTGAAAAACAAAGGTTTTGTGGGAAAATAGATCAAATCCTGAACTTCCTCATGCAGCTTTCCAGCAGTTTAAAAAATGAGTAATCCTGACAGTTTATTTTTTTCATCTTTAAAACAGAAATGATGAATTCTTACAGGAAAGCTTACAGTCGAGAGAGAGAGAGAGAGAGAGAGAGAAAGAGAGAGAGAGAGATATTAGGGAAACAATTCCTTTCAAATAGCACCCAAAAAAATAAAATATGTAGGAATCAATCTACTGAAGGAAGCAAAAGACTTGTACATTGAGAACCACAACACTGAGAAAAAGAGACTGAAGAGGATATAAGAAAATGGAAAGACATCCCTTGTTCCTGGGTAGGAAGAACCAATATAGTGAAAATGGCCATACTTCCAAAACTGCTATATAGATTCAATGCAATCCTGACTGAAATCCTAGCAGTATATTTCACAGAAATAGAGAAAACAATGCAAAAATTCATTTAGAACAAGAAGAGACCTAGAATAGCAAAAGCAATTCCAGGCAACAGAGACATGATGGGGTGTATCATAATCCCCAATTTGAAACTATACTACAAAGCCACTGTGATAAAAACAGCATGGTACCGGCAAAGAAACAGACCTTAGGATCAGTGGAATAGTTTAAAAGATTCAAAAACAACTCTAGATATATTCAGCTACCTCATCTTTGACAAAGGAACCAACCACCATCATTGGAGGAAAGATAGCCTCTTTCAACAAAAATTGGAATTCAACCTGCCAAAGACTAAAATTAGACACCTATCTTTCACCATGAACTAAACTAAAATCAAAGTGGATTAAAGATCTAAATATTAAAACAGAAACACTAAACTTTCTGGAAGATAAGTTAGGTAGAACTCTTGAAGCCACTGGCATAGGAAAAGACTTTATAAACAAAACCTCAGTGGCACGGGAACTAACACAAAGAATCAACAACTGGGATCTCATCTTATTAAAAAGCTTCTACAATACAAGATAAACCACCAACAGAGCTAAGAGAAAACCTACAGTGTGGGAAAATTGTTTTTACCATCTGCTCCTTAGACAAAGGACTACTATGGAGAATATACAAAGAACTAAAAAACATCAGACTCCCCAAATTTAAAGACCCAGTTCGAAAATGGGGATCTGAAGTGAAAAGACATTTCTCAGACAAAGAAGTAAAAGCAGCAAATAAACATATGAAAAAAGGTACAACATTACTGGTCATTCAAGAGATGCAGATGAAAACAGCACTGATATTTCACCTTACCCCCTGAAAGAATGCCTGCTATCAAGAACTCAACCAATAACAAATGCTGGCAGGGGTGTGGGGAGAAAGGAACCCTTCTCCATTGTTGGTGGGAGTGCAGACTGGTGCAACCACTATGGAAATCAATATGAATATACCTCAAAAAACTAGGATTGGAGGTTCCATTTGACCCAGCTATTCCTCTGCTGTGTATCTACCAAAAAGAATTAGAATCATACCACAGAAATATATGTGCACCCATGTTTATAGTGGCACAGTTTGTATTAGCTAAAACTATTGCCCAATTGCCCATCAACTGGAGACTGAATAAAAAAGATGTGTTTTTTTTAATAAAATGGAGTATTACTCAGCCGTAAAGTACAAGAAACTAGAGACATAGCTAAATGGTTGCACATTGAGGCCATACTCTTAAGCGAAATAAATAGGACACACGTGTAAATACTGAATAGCTTCTCTGGTGTTTGAAACTAAAAGTGTAAATAAGGATCAAAATGTAAAATAGATAATGTGAAATAAGAAGAAAAGGTCTAAAGGAGTAGGGGAAGTGGGAGGGGTAGGGGAAAGGAAAGAAGGGAAAGGAAAAAATATGAGAAAATGAAATACATGGAAACATAGTCTGTAAATAAGGAAGGGTGGAGGGGGTGGAGGGAGGGCAGAGGAAGGGGAAAAAATAAGAACCAAGGTACATCATGTAAGGGTACAAGCTCCCAATGATGTATGTAACTGTATTGTACACCTAAAATGTACCAATAAACTTAATGGGAAAAAAAATAAACAAACAAACAAAAGACCAAAAAAGTCCACCTCTACATGCATACAATACCATTAGTACACTACTTGACAAAATGAATGACCAGTGCATTCAAATGCTTAATACACGTACTTGTTATTAGTCATAAAATTACAAATTTGGAATGAATCTCACAGGTCATCAGATCTTGTTGTGACCTATTTAACAAATTCCTTCTATTCCATTGAAGAGCTAAAGCAGATGGACTGGCAATACCCCACCCAAACACACGCTGTGCTGTTTCCCTCCGGGAAAATGAATGGTACTGTATGCTTTCCTGCAGTGTGTACATGGAGTTACATGATTGCTTCTACCTATGTAAAGTCACCTGAGAGAAGATAATAAGATACGATGCAATGTCAATTCTTTGGCAACACAGGAAAACATTCTGTTTTATTCTGTACATTGTGGTTTCAAGTCAAACTCTCCCTTAATAAAAATTTCCTAAAACACATTTTTTAAAGCGCATTAGGATAGGTACAAAGAAGAAAAAATTTATTATATTCATAGAATATTTTCAGGGGAAAGGAAAAATACAATCTTTTACTTCAGAGATCATTATCCATTGTTGCTTTTTCTGAGTGTGTGTGCACAAATACAAACACAAACACAGATGCTTTGGTTGTCACGTAATACTTGCATAATAGTATCACATGATACTTGTAACTATATGCCTATTTTCACATAACTTCTTCCCTCATTTTAGGAACTCAACATTGTGCTAATCCTAAAACTGGATAAAGATAATAGAAGAAAAAAGTATGAACATAGATA